AATCCGAAGCAATTAAAGCATTTAAATCCCTGTATCACAATTAAACAAAGAAATTTTTGAAGTTTTCTGTCACGGTTGACTAAATCCTGGAGCGAAACATGAACACGTCTATACTCGTCAAGTGATCACAGTTCGGCGATTTGAAAGTCACAGAACAACAGTGTGAAAAAAAGAAAAAAAAACTTAGAAGCCCGATAAGGGACTCGAACCCTTGACCCTCAGATTAAAAGTCTGATGCTCTACCGACTGAGCTAACCGGGCCCGTTAGGTGGGGTATGGTCGCTTACAAAACACTGCCCTGATTAACGAGGTTATGAATGCTCTGTTTTTAACAAAAGTAAGGACATCGGGGTTTATCTGTGGACAGTAGGGCGTTGGAGGAAAACTACGGCACTCAAGCTCAGTATTAACGGCCGCGTGGCCTAATGGATAAGGCGTCTGACATCAGACAAATCCTGTGGAGGCATGGGGTTAGTAGACATTAAACTGAAGGGACATTCCCTACTTTTAAAATGGCTCAAGGCGTATTTTAACCCTGAAAATTGTAATATATGGAAACAAACAATGTCTTATTTTTTAAATTTGTATGGCCCTTTTGGTCTCGATAAAGACATTTTTAAAATTCATTTTAATTTTAAACTGTTAAGCATTCTACCGCCTTTTTATTATAATCTTTTATTAGCATGGGATGAATTGAACAGCAGTTCAAGACCAGATCCAACAATTTTAAATGATATTGCAATTCAGCCTATTTTTAATAACATTTTACTAAGTAATAATAATAGAGTTTTATCTTTTAATTATTTTATACAATGTGAAATTTTAACTTTTTATGACATTTTATATTATGTCATACCAGGATTTTTAAAAAATCATTCTATTATTGACATGTTAGAGGAAAAATTCCCTGATTTAAATAAAGACAGGGTTATAGAGACCTATAATCACATTAAGCAGTCATTACCACAAAAATGGACAGACATTATCAACTTTTGTTCATTTGTAGTCCATACTGGTGAAAATTCCTTTAATATTAGTGGTAACAATGTTCCATACGCCCAATTGACTTCCAAATTTTGCTACAAAGCACTGATAAAATTAAAAGATGTAATTCCAACTGGAGTCAAATATTGGGAGAAGCAAAATTTGG